AACCGCTTGGCCCTACTGTACACAACCCCTCTTCCAGCACCCTGCAGGTCCAGTGCCCTTCTCACTGACAGGACTTGCAGCATTGGGGACTCAAGCCCCCCTGGCCTCACCAGAAAGCCCTGTCATCCTCTGCTGCTGGCCTTGGAGCTGGGAGTGGGCGACACTGCCCCCTGGTGGTCAGCTGCACCTCTGTTTGGGGAGGTGGCTGGAGAAAACCGGAAGGGCACAATTGCGTAGTTTTGGCGCCTACTGTTGCTAAAGGGGGCTGGACACGGTGCTTACGCATGCTTACTTAATTCTAAACAGTCCGCGGAGGATTTCTGCCTTTCGGATGAGGAAGGAAAAGCATCCACGCTAGGACGCACTGAGGCCATAGAGGAAAACCCCAGGGTCGGGGCATCGGGGGTGGACCCTGTGTGTCCAGTTTCCCTCCTGGGAAAGGGGTGGTGTGGGCAAAAGGCCCTGCTCAGACCTGCAGAGCAGGGGGCCGGGTGAACCTGGGGCCAGACGACAGGCCGCAGAGGCCATGTGCACCTGTCCCCGCGAGCCCCTCCACACACCCCCATTCACCTCCTGGGGTAGTACCTCCTCCCTGGCTGCTGAGCAGCCCTGGGCAGCAGTGCCCACCCTGGCCTGGGTAGGGGCCAGCAGGGCAGCAGGCAGCGACAGCCCCAGGCGCCCAGGGCCCTGATGGGGGAAGGCGGGGCTGTAGGAGCACAGGGGGACCCTCTAGTCCTGGGGTGACTCACCGGGGTGGGAGTGTCAGACTGGTGACATGTGTGAGCTGAGGAAGTCGGGGCATAAGGACTAGAACTTGGCCTTGGGATATTGAGGCTGAGAAATCTTGGGGAGGCCGTAGGGGCTGCAGAGGAGGTGGTGGTAGTGTGGAGATGGGGGGTGTAGGGGCGCAGGGGAGGCAGAGGCGGAGGAGAGCAGTGGGGTGGGGGTAGGTGGGGACATAATGAGGCTCTGGGACCACTGCGCTGGCTCCCTGGAGGTCTGGGCCTACAGGAGTTTGGGGCAGGTCAGGCAGGTGAACCTGGCTGGCTCACCTCCCCAGAGGAGAGCAGAGGGAGGTGGGCACTGGGCAGTGGGGTCTGAGTGGCTCCGGTGGGGTCCCGGCTGCCCCGCCCGGAAGCTGGAGGACCCAGAGGACCAGCAGACACCGAGGGCAGAGGGGGCGGCGCCCAGGATGGCCATGGCAGGAGCTGAGCAGGCTTCTGGGGAGCAGGAGAGGCCTGTGCTGCTTCCATCCTCAGGGCAGACCAGGCCCTCAGGGACGGACGGGCAGGGAGAAGCCTCCCGGCTCCACACCCGGGGCCGGAAGAGCAGGCGCCCACCTCCAGGGCATAGCCGAGAACTGGTGGGGAGGGACCTCGTGGCTGCTCGAATCTGCTGGCCCAACCAGACATGGCAGGACGCCAGCCTCCCAGCCATCCCCAGTAAGACGACTTCCCTAGGCATGAGGAGGTGCTTCTCCTTGACCACTTCCCCTCGTCGGCACCACTCCTCCCACACTCCCAGACGCAGGCCAGCCATGGCCCAGCGAGGAGCAAGGACTCTGGCCTCTTCGGGACAGTGAGGCTCCAATCAGGATGGGCTCCAGCTTCCCAAGGCCCAGGCCTGGTTGGGGCCTGGTGTGTGGGGTCATCTTCTCCAGAGCTGAGGTGGGGTTCATGCAGGTCCAGGGGCAGGAGTGAGCCTACAATCTGAGGGCCTCTTTCCAAAAGGGGCCAACTTGATCTGCTGTTCCGGAAACCTTCACTCCCACCCCCAGGTCACAGACCTGTGGAGGAAGCCCAAGACAGATGCCGCTGATGTGCCTCCCGCTGGGCTCCCAGCTCCCACGCCAGCCCTTCAGGGAACTCATGGGGCTCCCTAGCCTAATACAGCCTTCAAAGCTTATTTCTTCCATCTATGAGAGAGTGAGAGACAGACAGCACCCCCAACAGGGTCTTGGTGCCGAGATGCACCCCAGCCTCCATGCCCGGACCGTGGGATGAGTGCCGTGTGCTCAAGGAGGTCTCCAGATGCAAGCCCGGAACCTCTCCAAGTGGGCGTCCTTGCAGGGCGTCATGCTTTACTGGTGCATCACCACCCAGCCCCCTCAAGGCTTCCGAGGGTTTCCTTGGCATGTAGGGGACTTGAGGGTCAGGCCAACATGAGAGTGGGCAGAGGGGATGCTGGGACAGAACCTGGGGACCCCTGACCACCAGAGGCAGAGCTCCGTTCCTGACATGTGGATCTCCGAGAGGCTACATCCAGAGCAGGGCGTGTGCGGGGTGAGTCTCTGCAAGGGGCATCCAGGGCACCAGGGCGCTTCTAATTCTGGTCGTTTGGGCCTTGGCAATCACCAAAGAGGGATTGGTCTGGTGGGAATTGGGCAGGCTTCCTGAGAGAGGCATCATTTGAGTTGGAACCTGGAAGGTGGGTGAGATTCTAAAAAACGGTTGATTATATGTACTCACAGGTAATGGTCCACGTCTAAGGTCCAGAAACTACACGAAAAGCTCCAAGAAGAACATAAGAACCTCCACGCGGAGCCGGCCCGAGCCAGGCTCCAAGCACCCTGGGACTCCTGTTCGTGTACGTTGACATGAGGGTCGCTGCGGGAGCCTCCAACCAGACCCCTGCATCCACCCTTGGCCATGGTCCACTCCCCACCCAGGGCGTGAGGCTGCCCTCACTCCCGTGTGCAAAGCTCACCCCTCTCAGGAGGCCGTGTTCTCACGTGGCCCACGAGAGTCGTCTGTGTGTGGAACGCTGTCTTTATCTTCGTTGTCTCTCCTAGAATGTCACTCGAGAGGGACAGGGATTTGGGCTGTCTTATTCCCTCTGTGCCTGTGTTCTCAGCTCATGGCGCACCTGACGTGAATGAATGAATATGTACTAAGAATGCACGTGTGTACATGTGTATATGCATGTGCATGCACACACATGTACATATACATATCTGCACATATATCAAGAGAGAGTTCAGAGTTGTTTTTGTCCAGGATGAAATGCCACAACAAAAGTACTGCTGGCTTCTCGGCCACCCATGTCACAGGCATGGGTGGCACCTGTCTCGGGGCTCACGGTTCTCACTAGAGATGCCCCTTCACGTACACCTGCGTATCCTCCCAGCGCTCTCCGCAGTCAGCAGCGCCCGGCCCCCGCCATGCTGACCCTCATCCCCTAACCAGCCTCGCTGTTGGGGAGTTCGTCTTCCAGGCTGCATCCGCACCGGCCATCCTTCACGGGCATCTTCACACCGCCATCCCTGAGCCCGTCCATGTCTGTAAAGTGGTTTCTAGAAGTGAGATTACGGGGTCAAAAAGACCTGCCTGTTTTTGAGATTTGTAGTGTATGTATTGTCCTCTAAGAAGATGATTCCAATTTGGATAGGATTCTTAATTTTACCTAATTTTAGTACCCAGTAGAAAAATATGCCAGAGTAAGTATGAAGAACGAGACCACCCACGGTCCCACCTCCCTGAGAACGTCCCTGACACACTGGCTTATGACTGCCGAGTTTCCTGCCATGCGTATTAAACATTATGATAGTGGCACCCATGCAGGTAGATACAGGTGTGCCCAGATGAGCGAGACTGTGAGTAGACAGTGTGTCCTCACCTCCACTCCTGCGTCCCTCCCACGAGATCTTGGCACTCCTCAGAGGGCCTGCCACGCGATGACTCCTGTCTGCATCTGCACCAGGCAAAACGACTGAGCAGCTTCACTTTTTTATTTAATTCTTGCTGTTTTGTTTGTTTTAGAGAGATTTTTGCTAAAGGGTGTGTGTACTCATCAGAGAGACAGAAAGTGAAAAATCACCCCCCCGGGGGGGATGGCCACGCCATAATCCCTTCTCCTTCGTTCTCCTCTCGGGATTTTGGGCACACACGCACACGCGCCTAACATGACTTTCAGGACACTGGGTCAAACCGCAGCTGACTACGTGGAAATACAGTGCCTTAAACACCACACCACCTGGTCCCTCACTTTATTTATTTATTTATTTTTTTAATTTGGCCAGCGGGTGCATGCACTCACCAGAGAGAAACAAAGAGTGAGAGGGAAAACACCCTCCAGTGGGGTGTGGTCATGCCACAACTCCTTCTCTTCCTGTGCACACACATGCAACCGGTGTATTTTTAAGCCACGAGGTCCCGGATTCGAACCTCAGTCAGCCATGTGGGATTTGGTTCTCGTAACCACTAGGCTATGGGGCTGGCCTGACTGGCTTCACTTTTTACAAAATTATTATTATTGTTATTGTTATTATTTTTAAGAGAGACTTTTGCTATAGGGCATGTGTGCTTGCCAGAGAGACAAAGAGAGAGAGAGACAGAAAACAAGAAATCACCCCCCAGGGGAGGTGGCCACACTTCCTCTGTTCTCCTCTTGGGATTTTGGGCACACATGCACATGCACCCAGTGTGAATTTGAAGCCACCAGGTTTGGGACTTGAACTGCAGTTGGCCACACAGAAGTCCAG